ATAGTAACTGAAATGTGACTGTATTTTACAAAATACTAGTCCACTAAAACACAGCCAAGACAGGTCACTTTTTAAAGACCAAAGGTCAATTATATATATTACTGGATATGGTAACACAGTTGCATGTTACACAGATGATTATTAACAATATATATTACACAACATTTGTAAGTTCTTAAGAGTCGGGTATATTCCGAAACCTCCAAACCTTGTAAATAAAATGTTTTGTGTTTTATCAACTGTCTTCATGTTCATTATTAAACTAAATTTAATATTTAAGCACAAACACACATTGGAAACATAATATAAAAGTACTTTATTCTAGGAATGGGAGAAAATTTATTATTTGTGTAAATATAGCCAAATTAAATGAACCTAAACTGGATTATCATAAGTGGTAGTAATTTGTTTGATTTTTTACTTAGATAATTATTAATGTGGTGTATGAAACTGGAACAAAAATCCATGAAACAGGCAAAATTGTACGAGTTCAAATCAATTCTTACTCATATTTTTCCATTTTCATTGGTATTTTGTGAATGCTGAATTTGAGAATTGTTAACTGATCAACTCATACAAGCATTTCAATTTTGAGACTAGGTGCGAGTATATTCTGGGTTCAGAGTATGTGCTACTTACAATATTGGTTGGTGAAGAAAAAGATATTAAGAGCCTTGATATGTTTGAGGCCCTATTTATGCAATATATGACATGGACTAACTACAGTTCTGCTTAAACATGGATGCTATGGTTTCAAAAACTTTTTACAATTTCACAAATATGACTTACATGGGATGGAATGTGGACATCATACACTCCACCAGAATCCACATCTATTGCATGGAATCCTTCTGCTGATCCATAAACAACCTTCAATCTTACACATTCTTCAATGGTCATATCCACTAATAAGGGACGGTGAACAAGATCACAAAAAGACTTGAAAGCCATGAACTTGTGGTAAGGCTTTGGGGCCCAAGCATAAGTCTCAATACTGTCTCGTAAGGCTATGACCAAAAACTTGATTCGCTCGTATTTTACTAAAAAACACAAACAATTTATGATCAGAGACGAGTTTGAGTGAGAAAATCTTTTCTAAAAAAAATAGGAAATTGTATGACTAGCAAAGAATAAATTTAACATTCAAAATTGGCAAAAGGTTATAAGTGGTGAGTAAAAGACTATATATCAAAACCAAACAAACTGCTTACGTTCCACCACTATACGAGGTCTAATTTATTTATTTGCTTTGCTCTTCCAAGCAGCACTAATGAGCCATGCATTCAGCAAAACTAACCTACTGCAGCAAACATAGTAAATCAAAGAATAGATTAGGTCTCTACGTCCTATATTCTTCACTGAAATTTACATTTTGGTGAAGAATAGAAATCAACAACTAAATAAAAAAACTTTCTGTCAAATATTCTGAATGATAATTATTAATTCAATGCCATATATTGATAATTTAAAAGTAAAAGTTGCTTCTTGTGAATTACATTTATAAGTAAAATTCTGATGTTTTAATGATCCACTATATAGACTACATATTTTGTAAATTTATGAAATGAACTACTATCTCGTAGCACTTTAATTAAACCCATGCTGTGTAGTGTGTTAGCTTCACATTTTCTTTGTGAAAACTTCACAAGTTCAGACTAACTATTGTCCCTTTTTGGACACAAAGACCAGATTCACTCACTTTTATCAATTCTATTATTCACAATGGTTTGGAGCTAACACTGGTAGTTTGGTCAAGTGGCCATAAACTAAAACAAATACTCTGCCAATCTAAACAGCATAAACGCAACAGCTATACGAGAACATATTTAACAGCCTTGGACAAACAGGACCTTAGAATTAAGGAAACTATGGCTGTACTTAAACTGAGGCCTGCCATAGTGATAATCATGATGTTGGGAAACTATCATTAACTCCTGATTAATCAGCTCAACTATATTCTTATATATATTTCAATTACTTTATTTGCCAAATATTTCACTAGGTAGAAATATTTTGGGTGTATTTTGGCCAAGATTTTTGTGTATTGTTTCATATAGACATAACCTTTGCAAATATATTATAATTTTCAATTAAGCCATGTTTTTTTGTTTTGTTTTTCTTCATAAAAATAAGCAGAATAAAGCAAGAAATTCACAAATTTAACCAAGTATTTGACTGTTTGGTTAATTGTTTGAAATTTTGCTTAGGATTTTAATCGTGAACTACAATAAAAAATACCAGTTAGTTTAGCAAAATCATACACAATTACTTTGATGTTTCATCAGAGCTTGCAACTTTTTCACACAAAGTGTAATCAATAGCATGTATGAATAAGAAGTAATTGATTATTTACTAGAGGCAGCAAAAGATTAAATTCAAATATACACTAAATATCATAAAATAAGTAAGAGTAATCACTTTCAGTTCTATTATTGATCTAAAAAATTGTTAATAGTTAGTTCATCCATACAATATGTCAAATTACATGTTTATGTTGTTTAATGTTATCTTTTCAAAGCAAACCACCTATACAGATCGTAACTAAAACTCAACTCATTAATGAACAGAGCCAATTTAAAATAGTAATTCCAACTACAATGACCAGAACGCACTGCCCTACCAGCTGGGTAACCCCATTGCTAGTGATATTTTCTGTCATAATCCCAATAATGTCTCACAAAGTTCAGTCAGCTTAGGAGATTTAGGTTTGTCCTAAATCCATATATTATATTAAAAATGCAAAATAATCCTTTTAATTAAAGCACATATTAATATAAAAAAAAAGACATACCAAACAATCTAATCACTACTGTTAGTCCTAAAGTCTGTACACTAAGTTAACTATCCAAAATAATCCTTATAATAAAAATATAATAATAATAAATTTGATTTATCTGTTGTTAAGCGGAAAGCTACATAATGAGTTATCTGTGCTCTGCACACCACGAGCATCGAAACCTGGTTTCTAGCATTGTAAGTCTGCAGTCATGCTGCTGTGCCACAGTGAGGCCATAATAATGAAAATAAATATATAAACTGTTAATAATCCACATCAACAAGTGTCAACCACATAATTATGTATCAACAGTGTACTGCATTATTATTTTTTCTCTCTAAAGTAAAGATTTAGCAAATAGTGCTTATAACCAAATAATAAAAAATGTTTCAAAAACACAATTTTGCTCTTAAAATGAAAACAAAAAACACATTTTCTCACTGAAAGGTTGAGAAATATATTGAAAAGCAAATAATAAAATCTTAACATACAGTAAATATTCTTGAAAACAAATCTTATGATAGCAGATACGTGAAAACATTTACACCAGTAAGATTTGAAACCAAAGGTCCTTTACTTGCCATCACAAAAATTCAAATATGGTGTAGATTTTTTTGTATAGGTTATTTACAAAATGATATAAATATATGCAACAAAACAAAGAAATGTATATATGATTTTTGGGGGGGGATAGCAAGGTTGAAAAAATTTATATATATAAATTAAAAGATATAAAATGCAAAACAAATTAATTAAAATCACAGAATTTTTATAATTCAGGAGTCTTCTTAATCAATATTTTTTAGGTTTTACCTTAAACTTCATTTTCAACAAACTGAAGAAATGCACAGTTTGGTTAAACGACTTGACCAAATTTCTATCAAATTGCTTTTAAAATATACACAGGCAAAAATTCTTTTTTTTATAAAACTTTAACCACAGATGAAAAATAATTGAATATAATTATTTGTAACATTTATACCTCTTTTCACACAGGAGTAAAACATTTTGAAAGAACACACTTTTCATTAGTTTACGATAGAAGACTAATAAACATCAAGATTTAAAAACAATGTCAAATTTAAAGAAAATTAAAATATGTTTTAAAACTTTATTATAATATTAAAGACAGGAGGTGCTTAAGAAATCTTTACTCTTTGTACTTGATAATTACTGTAATATATATCTGAACAATTTATGTATACAAATAAAAGTGAAACAAACTTTTCATAAATGTTCTTTAGCACATACAGCAGGATACGATACATTAGAACAACATAGTGAGTCACCAACATCATGCTTGAAATACTTGTCTTAATAACTCTTAAATCATGGGGGTTCTTTCAAGAATGAGCTGTTTTCAAAATGTTCATACTACATTTGAAATGCATATGAGTCAATATTTTCTAAGAATGTTCTCAATAATGTCATATAAATTTTCACAATTCTTTTCTTACAGAAAACACTTATATAAAAAAATCTGAAACCTAGCTTTTGTAATTACTGAAATATTCAGTTTGAATAAAGCAACCAAGTTTTCTACAAACGTTATTAAAGAAAAAATTCCTACAGAGATACACATCTCAGAATGCAACAGAAATATTTGCTAACAAAGCAAAAACTACAAGTAACTGAGAAGTTTAAACAAAAATCTTTAAGTCACATTGACAGCTGCTCTCTCAAGTCTTAAGAAAATGAGAGATGTTTACCATTGTTACTCCATATATGAAACGCATTTTCCCACTCCTTAAAGCTGTGATGAGGAATAGACCATACCACTTGAGCAGCAGAAAAGAAAATGTAAAGAAATGAATGTGGAGTTAACATATTAAAGCAAGATGAGGGATTTAAAGTATGAGAATTTATATATATATATATCAATGTTAACATTTTTTGACAACTTCTTTACTAATCTAATATAAGTGTGCAATGTGAAGCCAACTTTTTTCGATGTGTTAAAGAAACGAACCATAATCCATTTTGTAAATCAAGTGGAAACCAGTGTTCACATGGTAAGTAATGTCATACATCAATACTCCTTTTCATAACACTAAACGCTTTCCCATTTAAACATACATATTTCTCATCATATTGATGTAGATACTCTTGTAAACTTTCACCCGAGCTGTTTTGTTACACTACAAAAAGAACATTACAGTATTCACTAATGATTTCACTTAGTCAAGAGTAAAATAACATCATCCATTTAGAAAAATCACTTATCCCAAAATAAGCTCAGATGAGTCCTTAACAATATCAACATCTCCTTCTGGCTAATTAAGTTGAATTTTTTTTTTTAATGCAAGGCAAATAATAAGATATAATAAATAAAAAAAAAAGCATGATAAGGTAATGGAAATAGCACTACCACAAAATAAGACCTGATAAACACAAAGTATTTATGTTGAGGTCTTATCTAACATTATTAACTACAATATATTTTCTTGGAAGTCTGTTCCCTGAACAATTGTATAAGTTAAAGAACTGGAAAAAGTTTTAAATAAAAAGTGAATTGTAGAGATTTTTGTTTAAGTTAGATTAAATTAATTCTTTGTAGAAATATTTATACAAAATGTAATTATGCCAAATAAAGTTTCAATAATTCTTGAAAATAGGAAAAAATATTCAATTTTTTTTTTAAATATAAAACTTAATATAGGTATGTATTTATAAATGTGCAAGAAACACCACCAAGCCTGATCATGGCATTAATGATCATAGAACTAGAATGATAAATACACCTACAACTACCAGGTAGATTTTGTATCTCCTTTTATCATCTTAAAAGACAGTATTTGACTAATACAGCAATGCAAAGAAAGAATAAAGGGGTAAAATAAGCACAATTATAAATAAATCTATTATTTTATTTATATTTTTTCTATTTTCAAGTTGGTAATTACATGATTAAAAGCATATCTATACCATTAAAAGAAAAATACATCCTCTTTTGTTTTCATACCAAATGCGTATTTTTGGAGATATGACCACTAGACTAACACCAAATACAAACAGATAAATCTCTACACAGTACCATACTTGCTATACTAAGCATGGAAGAGTCAATAATTCTTTATCAAAACCACTTCAAGTACATGAAACTCTACACATAAAATTTGTAGATGTTTTTCCTCTTAGCAGGTCCATTTCAGATTCAAAATTGGAGGCATGCAAAAATAGCATTTCAGATCTATCTTTTGTCTCCTACAAGTCATTGCCCATCATGCATTTTATTCAATACCACAACATCAGAACTCATTAGTTAGTCTTGACAATTAAAAATTTCTCTGTAATGCTATATATATATATATATAAACAAATATAATAACATTACGGACAAATATTTGAAACACAAATTTTAAGGCCTACTGATTTCTAATTCTTCGCCAGCTTTCAGCATTTAAACTGGAACATTATACGAAGCACTGTAATAACCTTCTCATTTTAATTTCTATAACTGAAGTGTAAACATTCAAACATACTTCTGGTCAATATAAATCACAAGTATGTAACATCAAATATACTGTGGCCATGAAATTTACAAAATGATGCTTGAATAGCCTCATAATGATTTAATAATCAAGCAACTTATGATATGTTTATCAATTTGAGATAGAAAAAAGAAACTATAACAAGGTATACAAACACAAACAAACATGGTATAAGAGAGCAAAGAGAATAATGAAACTCAGATTCCTATAATGTGACAAAAAATATCAAGCTATGTTTTGAAATAACACTATGTTTGATTTTTAAAAGTTAAAAAAAATTCAGTTTTTTTTTCACTTTTTGATGGCCTATACTTACATATTAATGAAACAAAATTTCTTTACTGATCTGTTGTTATATATCTGCACAAAATAAGTGTTACAAATATGGAATTATATGCAATATATATTATTTCAATGAAACTACAGTAAAGAATAGGAATGCTTTTCTCTAGTGTTTATAATAAACAATTCAGAATAAATCTGATATAGATCTGTATAAACAGCATTTTCAATGCCATCTACCAGGCACTGATTGTAATATATGATAACAGTAAGAAATGGTTTGCCTGAATTAACTCGAATAAATACTTTTTGAAACATGGGAGTTGCCCACGTTATCTCATGTAAATCATAGAAGGGGTTAAACACACTTTTTTATGTTCACTTTTGACAAAATAATACCAATGACTGCTAAAATAATAACTTTAAATTTTCATGCACAATTTGCAATAAATGTGCACATAAACTTCTATAGTTAAGTATACAAAAAATAAAACTTTTTTTCATGAAATTGGCCTACAACAAACAAAGATGAAATGGCCAACTCTAAAGTAAATTTTTATAGGAAAAAAAAACAATTATAATTAAAAGAATTAGAAAAATTAGACTTTGAATTTCAGGGTAAAAAAAAAAACACAACATCATTTAATGACACAGTTTATCAACTTTGGATTTTGCCATTGAAGTGTTTTCAACATTTCAGTTTATATCACATCATCTGAAATGAGATAATTTCATTATCAAACAAGTTGAAGTTCAAAGTAAAGTTTATCACATGTGAATGCTACAGAAAGCTGAATATTCCATTACTTATCAAATACTTATCTTCACTAAAACACTTACCAATTTTAAAGTGAACAGCACCCTGGAGGTCACCCACATTTATCCACCCATTTCTTCTTTCCAGCTGCTGTAATACACAGAAAACCCAAGTTTTTTTTTATACACATTTATTTATTTAACTTCACAGAATTCTAAAAGTGTAACTTAACACACAATTCTTATTAATGCTTCCAAATGAGTCTTCAAGCACTATGATCATATTAAATTACAATTCATGAATTGATAAAATCACTCCAACTCACTCTTGATTCTTTATTCTGACCATGCTAAAATAGGTGAGATCAAAACGTGTTACAAAGGGGGCTTTCTTTTATCTTAAAATTTTTAGTTTAGGTAGGAAAATACAGAAAAGTTAAATAAAGGTGAGATACATGGGTGGAACATGCCATTTTAGCAAAACTGCGAAGAAAAAAAAAGACTTTGATTACCACTTTAAAAATCTAATTGTAAAATAAATGTACAGCCAGACTAACGATAGTCTTTTGGTAGCTTCTAATAGTAACATGAACTGAAACTCTCACTAAAGCCATGTACGAAAAATTTTGAATTTAAAAAAATATATATTCAACTTTCAACATACAATAGTAACAGAAGGGTTAAAAATATTTCCTAACTGACTTACATGATAAAACAAGCTTTTCACATGTAGATATGTAATGCTTTTCATGAAAAATTAGATACATGTAATCTTACACAAGTCACATACAAGCATCAGAAACATTACATTTTCACTAAATAAATTTGCCAATGTTATTTATGTTGATGACTGGAGGAACCAATAATAGAGATTTAGGATAACATTACTTCTGAGTAAAAAAAAACTGTAATATTTTAAATGACGCAGTAAAATAAAGTCCTTTTAATAAGCGTACCTGGGATCTTAAACTGCATAACACATACTTGAAGCTCTATTTTAAACCTGCAATACAATGGTACCTAAATTTCTAAGTACTATTTATAAAACAGGAATTTGACTTAAATCATCCAACTTACCCTATCTGTTGGAAGAATCTTGCTTTTGAGCCAGGAAAGATAATAAACACGAACTCGGGATTTTCGCCCAGAAATAGTCACTAAAATGTTCTGTCCTTCTGAAACTTCCATTTGTTGAAACTTCCTTCTTGTTATTAAATTGTACACCTTTCCTTGGCCACTACGATCCAGCAACATTAAACCATTTTCTGTCCCTATTAGTAGATTAACTCCTATAAAAGAACAACAAATGAGATCATACAATATTTGACATAAATTAGTATTAAAGGGGATGAAAGTTAAAAATTAATAGAATATTTTAAAATAGTTGAACAAATCACAAATAGGATAAATGACTGTTCTAAACTTCATAACAGCATGCTGAATCTTCTTTAACCCTAGAATCCTACTGATCTTTTAAACAAATGAATTTGTAAGTTACACAGTCTTTAATAACACAAGTCACACACAAAATATTAACAAGAATACCATTAATACTGCAAAAAAGAAGTATGTTATAAGTCAAACCACTAAGGAGTTAATATATATATAATTGTGGATACAACATTTCGGGTAATGCCCTTCTTCAGGTATCACTAACTGACCAGTAAATCCATAAACAAAAAAATTCTAAATCGAAGGTGATGTGACAATGTAACAAATATACGTGTACAACAGTGCTTACAAACAATTTTCTTTTGCGGATTTACTGTTCAGTTAGTGATACCTGAAGAAGGGCATTGCCCAAAACGTTGTATCCACAATTATATATATGAAAAATATATATATATATATTAACTCCTAAGTGGTTTGACCCATAACATACTTCTTTTTATCTTTTTCAACAACCACTACACGTAATTTCCTACACAGTTTTATACAAACATTAATACTGCAGTTGATCATACTAGTTATTGCTGCAATTCCCTAAATATTTTAGATAAAATTAGTGGGTCAATTCTTTAAACTGTGTTTAGTGACAAAAAATTACAAAAATATTCAACTGACCCCCACCAGTAGCAAATTTTTTATTATTCTACAGTTGAAAGTTATAAACATCATACAACTTTTATTTTTATTACACAACTCTTTAGTTTTTATGATGTCATGCTATGAAGAAAGAAAAAAGTAACAGTAATTTTAATGGATATTGAATTGAAAAACAAGAAACCTTAATTTTTAGCACTTTTGTAAAGGAAAGTTAAATTTACAAATATTTCATCTGTATGTTTTTCATTCTACAAGTTAATATTACAGCACCATAATCTTGTTTTAGTTGAAATTTTGATAAGCACCATTTACTGTAACGAAAATATTTTACCCCAAAGTGCAGCACACAGAATCTCAGAATTAAACCTTTTCTTGTATTTGCGAATCTCTGGAGTATCAGACGAGGACTCGTGTGAGTTTGGCGTTACATTAACGTTGATGTGTGATTCACGGCGAGGAGAAGGAGATGGACCTGAACCTCCAGCTCCAAATCCAAATATCAAAAAGGAAGGTTGTTTTTGTTGTAAGGAAAGAGGTGTTTTCGTTACACCCTGTCAGTTATGCAGACAAAGAGAAAATAATAGTAACTACCTCACTCACATGATAGTAATATTTGGTTTAACTTACAAATAAAAAATCTGCAAAACTTTCAAAAATCATCATCTAATTTATCTCATACATAGCTATTACAATGATAACATTATGAGATTATAATTACATTCAGAAGTTTCTATTTCAAGAGATACCTGAATACAATTCTTTCTGTGGTTATTAAATTTTCTAATTCAAAACACAAAAATGTCATTTTATAAAAAATATATAGGTAATGACACCTAGTTCATGTGTAAGGTACACCTTCAATTTCCAAAATCCATTTAGATAGTCTTAGAACACAGAAATGCACAAACAACTTGAATATTAAATTAGGTAAGTTTCATTTACCTTCACTATTGCCTTATGATGAAAATCAATGAGAATTTTCAACTTGTAAAGTCTAAGTAACAGTGTTGGAAAAACATGTTCAGGCAGCTTGTCTACAGAGTGTACAACATAAATTATCAGCTTTAAAAAAGTTATTTCATGATTAGAAAAACCATGAGAAATTAGTCTTAAAATGACTAAAAGCTCGCATCAGAAAACTGCTTTAGTTGGTTATCTTAGCACGGTGGTTGCTGTATTTAGATCATAGATCAGTTATTGTTACATTGATTCTTATTTTATTTTCTCTTTCAGCAGGAACAAGAAAGCAAAATTCACACATTACGAGATCTAAAAAGTAGACAGGCAGCTTAAGTATTTAACCAACAATGGGTAGGTCAGCAAAAAAATGTTGTTTTAACTGTCTTTGTCTTATCTTAGTGCTTGTACAGTTAGAAGTCAAAACTAACAAAACAGTATTTAGAGAAAAATATGCATGTTACCTAGTTATAAGCTATATCTAGCTTTTAATGTTCTTCACTAGTTAAATCTTTAAATCACAGGTGGTGTCTGTGTGGTGCCATTCTTCAGTCCTGTCATGGGTGGTCTGTGTGTGTGTGTGATGTGACTCGTGTCACTCAATAGTTTGGTCTTAAGTGGCGTGTCACGTCATTCACTGGTCAAGTCACAGGTGGCATGAGCACATGATGCCATTTATTAACTAATTGCTTTGTTAACCAATTATAAGTATGGTTAAATGACTTGTAAAAGTTTTATCAGGTATCTAGACCCCTTACAACAAAGGAAAAACTAATTTTGATATTTAAATTGTGTACTTCTCTATTCCAAGCTATTATAAAAAACTTAACATGCTTAATTAACTTTTTACTTCATGAAATTTTAGTTAAACAGGTCATGACCACAATGCAGGTAGGATGGAAGAGAGATTTGTAATGTATATTTTGTTGAACCAATTGGAAGGTTAGGATCCAAACTTGAAAATCAGTAAGAAAAATAAACAATGAACAAGTTTGTTTTTAACTGCTTAGGTTCAGGGTTGTTTGGAGTGTAGTTTTTGGGATGAGCTAACATTAAAATCCTCTCAAAGTTGGACTGAAACTAAAATCTCTCCTATCACATAAAATGATCAAGTAGAACCTTTAAAGCTTGAGAAGCAGGTTTCCAAAGAAAGAAAACTTTGAGTTAAGTACAGATTTCTGGTCTATTGTCTAACAGTTTTTAAGCATCACCTTCTCTCATATTAAACAGCTTGATTTATTGAATACTTTCTTCTTCTTTGATGTATTCACATGTGTAATTTAAGATAAATGTTAATTTTCCTTAAAAACACACAGTACAATGTCTAGAATTTAAAGATACCCGTTTAGTTCCTAAGTTACTATAACCAATTACTTGGAACTTCGTTCCCAGTTATATACAACAACAAGTTTTAACATTAGATCATATTGGACTGGAAGATCTCTTTACTATCAGAGAGGAGAATTTAAAAACCTTGTTGGACATCATAATGGTACAAAGAGTAGAAAAAAGTTTTAACTTTAAGCCTGAACTTCTATACAATTTGTGATTTGATTTATGTTTGTTTTTAGTGAACTTCAACCCATTTGGTTCTTGTATCTCTAAACTACATTCATATGTCATTTAGAATGAACCTTTTTCTGTTTGAATATATCTCACCTGGAAGTTCATGGATGTGGTTGAGTTGTGAAAGATAGCTTCTAGATCAATGACAATGCAATAAGGATATATACACATATTAAACATTAAGTTTTAGAATCACCAACAAATATGACTTTTTTTTATAATAAAATACTATTTTACCTCCATTATTTTTATTTTATACCTTCTACACTTATAAGATTATTGGCGGATGAATGGAGCAGGGAGAAAAGAATAACAACAGCCATTAAATGCTAAGCATAAAGCATTGTCATGTGTATTCATTTACTAAAAAAGCAATCTCCAAGTGCTTATTTTATATTAAAACACCTTTGTCAAGTATTAATTAACTCCACTGACATAAGAAATGTTATCACTCACCAATGTAAAAAAACAAAATACACACACACACACACACACACACACATGTATATAGTTTCTACCTCATCCGAATTACTTGTGTCTTGCTGCCTCTGATGTGATGGCTGCCGTAAAGGTGTGGAAGTATTTTTAGGAAGAAGATCAGGAAGCACTCCACTTGATCGTCCTACACTGCTTCCTGGGCAACTCTGGGTGGACTCTGTACGCTGCATATTTGGTCGACAAGCAAGTTCTTCAGGGAGTGTTGCATGATCTGAGTAGCTCCTCTCTCTTTCTTGTTCATTCTAGAAAAGTATAATTATTTTTATTTAACCCAAAAATTTGGGTTCCTAAGTACCTTACAAAAAAGCTACATTTTACAATTTTTTTGGTTAAATGAAGGAGGAAAAATTAAAACATTCCAGAGAGAGAATAATAGGATCACCGATATGGTCAATGATTTTAACTTTAAATGAACCACAAACTAACTGTTACTCTCTTTGTGTACCCAATACAAATGCACATCTGAAGTTAGAAAAATTGGGCTGAAATCAGTTTCAGTTTTTAATTATATTATTGAATACTTAAATTATATTTCATATAATACGAGTTCTCTTTCCTAAACCTAGCTTCAACAGTTTTACGACTTTGAGTAATCTATTTCACATAAATACTATACAGTCCCACTTCTTAGATACTTTATTACACAAATTATCAAACAGATTCTTCTACATTGTTTTTACCTTCAGTATCAACTTTCTTAATTTGTGCACAACAATCACTGAACAAGAATAAAAGCATTTTACTGAATAATATTTATGTATGTTATTGACAGTACTATAGTAGATGTGGCATTTGATGACGTGTCTTAACCCTATTCCTATCCTATGCATTACATGTGATTCACAGGACATAATGCTAAAGTGCCTGAATATCATATGTGTTACACAGCTACATTTATTTTGTGTAGCTGATACTAGTGAATGTGGCAATAGGAACTGGTTGTTTTGGTTCAATGTACGAGATTAGAAAATAATTTCATATGAGTATCGTATGTGAATGTGTTGTTACTTTCATTCAAGAGAAAATGTAAACCTAAGATAAATACAACAATTTTTTTATTAATACTTCATATTTTCATTACCCATTACATTAATTTTCCACTAGACATATAATGTCTATGTGGGCTAAGAAAAGCTTCTAATGTGTCTGATATACGATACTATGTAGATTACGACAAGCTTCTAAGGCTTATGATATATGATACCACGCAGATTATGCCAAACCTATAAAGTTTACATTATATGATACTATGTAGATTACGACAAGCTTCTAAGGTTTAGGATATATGATACCATGCAGATTATGCCAAACCTATAAAGTTTACATTATATGATACTATGTAGATTATGACAAGCTTCTAAGGTTTAGGATATATGATACCATGCAGATTATGCCAAACCTATTAAGTTTACATTATATGATACTACGTAGATTACGACAAGCTTCTAAAGTTTAGGATATATGATACCATGCAGATTATGCCAATCCTATAAAGTTTACATTATATGATACTATGTAGATTACGACAAGAAACTAAAGTTTATGATATATATAGCACAAGGAAAATTAAGGTAAGCTCTTAAAAGCAAACTCTTGAATCCCTAAAAGTCTTATGATTTAAAATTATTTAAGTATATGAAAATAAATTTATATAGTTCTGAGACATGATTTGGTGATGATAAAAGCTAGCTTTTCAAATTTCACAGTATGATACAAAAAGTATTAAAAAGACAGATATTTTTCAAAAATCTCAAAAGAAAGTATTTGTTTTAATGTTTAGTATGTACGTGTAATTTAATTCCTACAACTAAATATCCTTTTGTGACTCTAAGCATGTAATAATTGCATATGTTTATGCTCATTTGTTGTAAGTGTCAAAAAAAAAGAGAAAAGAAAAAACATTTTCCTCAAAACAATGCCAACACAAAGGAACATGACGATACTTTCTAACCATAAAAGAACCACATGGGTTAGGAAATTACAAAATGCAGAATATAGTAATGGTGAAAACTCGCCAATTGAAGATAATTTTATTGATAATCATGAAAATGACGTTTCGGGCAATAGCTCTTCATCAGGTTTTCACTGTGTTTACCAATAAAATTATTTTAATTTGGCAAGTTTTCCACCATTAATATATTTTTTTATACTTTCAAACCAACCAACCTGACTATTGTTTCTGGTTGATCCTTGTGATGATAATACAGTTTCTCTTTTTTTCTGAGACTCTTCATTAGGAACTGATGATGAGGCCACAGAAGCTGGAGATGAAGACACTTTATGGAGGGGAGGTCGTTCTTTCCTGTCAGATCTCTGTTTGACTTTTTCTAGACCACTAGAATCTCTTTTATTACTACTTTTTTCAATGTGGCTGCTGGACCTCTCTCTTCTAGCACGTTCATTTCCATTTTGTTCTCGCTTTGACTTATCACCTTCTGTCTTATTTGACTGATTCTGTAATAGTAATGGAGATTGTAGACTAAAATTAGGCTTTTGTCAGCATTTAGAGTTCTTCCGTTATGTCTGAGATAACTGCATGACTACTAATTTTGCTCATGTTGATGACACATGAACAGAACCAGGTAACAAAAACAACAAAAATACTTATTAAAGGTATTTAAGTGTGATTTACATGTTTATTATATATGGGATATACATTACTTTTCGCAAAGAAAATTTGTTAGAAAATACTTATAAACAGAGTAGAATGACAGAGCAATAGCAATATCTATATATAATAATAATAACATACAAGACTGCATCCAATGCAAGCATACCAACTGAAAGTTCCCCTTAGTTAGTTTCCAAAATTCACTTAAATTATTTCATCATCTTGAAGCTCAGTTACAAATACAGATAGATTTGCAAATCATAGTGTTATTAATTACATTAACAGTGCATTGCAAAAGCATGAACCCACTGCAAAGTTTCCATATTTTGTTGCCATCTGAGCTTGCAATCATGAAACTTTCAAATGGGACTTTATAGTTAGAATCTACACAATCTACTCCAAAGTGAGAAACCTAAAAAACACGGATATTATGTAAGTAAGTTAGATTTTCAAGGAAAATTAGAATATTCTCAATTGCATAAGTATTTAACCCCTTTTCTTACAGCAACCCTAAATCAGTTCACGTGCAACAGATTAGTTTGAAAGGTCACAAAGGTCTCTGTCTGTGTCATCATATAAAAGACTGTTTCGTTCAGATAGTATTGATTAATTTAGTTTTGTGAGTGAATGTTTTATTATTATTTAGTTTTTGTTATAATAAGAGTTAAAAGCAGATGATTGTAGGAAGTTATGTTAATAATTCACTGATGTTGAGAATGTCAAATGTCACGTGCAATATATTGACATCAGGAATATAGAAGGTGGACAGACGATTAGGTACTAAAGATATGAATAGCGTGAGACGAGCAGGAAGCAGCAGACAGAGAATAGCAAAAGAGAATAAAGTTCATGTGAAGTTAACTATCATAGAAGTGATAGGCCTAATTTTTAATATGTTAAAGTGAAACTAACAGTACAAAAGAAGATAAGAAAAATAATTTTATTTAGTCAAAGAGTGGTTCTAAAGTAACTGAATCAGCCTGAGTGCACTTTGACAAACGGAGCAAAGAATCTACAAAAGAAAGAAGACCAAACAATTATGGTAATCGCACCACTATTGTAAGTGAATCACAGAAGAATACTAGTGTGATAGAAATAGAGAAGATAGTTAGGCTTGTCAACTGAAATTCTAAAGTAATTGAATAGGCCTAAGTGGATATTTGACAAGAAGGAGAGAACTACATATATAGTATTTATGATATGTCCATAATATCTATAGTGGGTTGAGGAATTTATTGTACATACGTAAACTTGTTCTGAATATACATATTATTTGAAAACAAATGAAGTGTGTGCTGTTTATTCATCGTTGAATTTATCGCTAACAAGTCACAGACACCTACTGTAGAAGAATCCTAAGCCCAACTACAACATAGTATATATCTATACTATTAAGAAATATAACTAAAAGCCTTTTTATTTTGACAATTGGCGAAGATCAGATTTTTAAATTCTGACAATCTGACTGTAGATACTTCTTTCAGTTCAAATTACGTAGTATGACTAACCCACACTTCCAAAAAATGAATGCTTTCATGTTGGTAAGAGTCACAATGAAAAGTAATTTCAAAATATTAAAAGACTAAATCTTGATATCTCATTTATAGCAACTGTTCCAACTCCGTACGCTAACCTGGTGGACACAACACTGAAAGACTGGCTCTACTTCCTCAAGACTTATTTCCAAGCTAACTGATTCACTCGTTCAATATCTTGTTCTATACTAACTAAATCTCTCTTTATTTAGTTGAAATGGTAGTGTCAGGCTCACCCGAAGTAACTAGCATTAACCATGTGACTGATTATTGCCATTCAAACATAAGAAGGGTTGTAACTTTGAGATATCACCTTATCTATCATTGGAGGATACTGCTGTCCACCTTCATATACAGAGCGCAGCTTTACAGCTATACCAATTAGTAGACCATATGTTATTGTGGTATTTTCGGTTAAACCCGATTTTTCAACAATTATCAAATATAATTATTTACAATAACAGCAGAATCCGGCCAGGAGAAGTCACGAGACTTCTTGTGATTAAATATATTTGAACTGAGTGTTCATTAACTCAAAACACGAGTTCACGTGCAACTACACATAGTTCTCATTCCAAGTTATGCAACGGTTTGTCTTGAAGTCTCCTTTCTTGGGAGATAGATAACCTCAACAGTAAACATTGAATGAACTGTAAAAGGTATTCTCTTTGCAAAAACTGTGAGTGAACTGATACATAGAAACTATCAAACATCAACTTGCTTTCTTGGTCCAGTTGACAACATCACCTCGTGACCTCTCTTTCCTAACAACATTGGTGAGCTATCAGATTCAGCTAATGTCATTTTTCGGCTAGCAAAAGATAGTCCAGTTTTAACCTTGGTTCAAAAATAACTAAAATATCTTTGCAGACAGAAGGGCTGAGGTGGCTAAAACAAGATAATGTTAAACACTTTGCACCATGTATTGCTTTGACCATCAGTCAAATGTTGATCAATACCAGAATTCGTGGATCGGGTGGAAATGTCGTATCTAAAGTTAAATACCTTGATAAATGATGTAACATTAATAACTGATATAGTGGTTTGACAGATAATTTGATTGAGGAAAACAAGTATTACGTTCGTTTCTACAAAATGGACAGACAAACCAGAAATTTTATTTCCGTATCTTTCAAGCTTTTTAGGATAAAAGACAACAAAAATATATATCTTTTATTTCACATTCTTTAAATTCATCATGTTTACAATTCTAATAAGCTGTTCAGTTTGCATAGAATTATTGAATACTGTGCCCAACATACCGCAAATGGTCAGAAGTTCAGACTGTGTCAGTCAGCTTAGAATAATTTTCAAAATGTAAGATCGATTCCATTCTAATTTATAATATTGTTGCGTCAGCGAAGTCACATGACTAGTGTCACGCCACGTTTCTAGAACTATCCTGTACCTTGGCGAATGCTCTAGCATTTACTAGATATAGGGTAGGCTGGTATATAAAAGAGGATCACAACGTGACGGGAATAATGTGTGTGTAGGTAGTGAGTAATTG